TGTGTGTGTGTGTGTGTGTGTGTGTGTGTGTGTGTGTGTGTGTGTGTCCGGGCACGAGTGGGCAGGTCAGACAGCCTGGGAGCACTAGCAGTGAAGGATCGCTTCCTGAAGAAGCCCGGGGGCTGCTCCAGGGAGCGTGCATGCCCTCTCTTCTGGAGATTGGCTTCCTCCACCATTATCCTCCTCCTCCCACGCGATCTTCCACACTCCCTCCTTGCTTCATAGCGAGGGCACCCCAAATCTCCAAGTCCCGCTGCACCTTTACCCTTCTTCAATGAGTGAGGCCCAGGGTGGAGGTGCAGTGCTTGTGAAGCCTCTGTAGCGAGATGCCACCCAGACCCCGGCGTCTGCGGGACAGCCAGCCTGCCAGCCTCTGCTGACTGATGGGCAGAGCTAGCTCAGGACCGGGGAGGTCTGGGTTCACCTCACCTGTGCTGACAGGCTGTGTTGGGGCCACCATCTTGTCTGTGTCACCAGGCGGGACTTGGTGGGCTCAGCCACCAGCACTGCAGGCTGTGGCTCGACCTGTCTCCAGGCCCCACCACCTCTCCTGCTCATCTGGTCTGTTTTAAGTGGCACATCCACGGGGATCACAACCCCTCCCCCTCGGCCACAAACCACACAGGACACTTTGCACTCGGGTAAATAAGCCTTCACCATACACCATGTGCACAACACATCCAAGGAGGACACATCCGGGGTTCAGCTTGCAAGTGGGAGCCCTCCCACCAATGCTCCCCACAGCTCAGAGCATGGGGGCCACCGGTGGGATTTCAGAAAGGAACCTGCTGGGTGATGGAGGAGGGTAGTGGATGGTTGTATGCTGGCCTGGGATGGGCAGCTATCCAACTTGACTGAGCAAGTGTAGGACTGAGGGACTGCAGGTTCCCCAGAGACTCCCCTGTCTGATTGGCTTAGTGGTTCAACTTCAGGCAGGGCTGACCCCTCACTGTAGGTAGCCACTGTGGGGTGGGGGTGAGGGGGTGCTCCTAGGCTAGAAGGGAATGGGCAGAGTGAAGCCCTCCGGTGTGGAGGTCGCACAAGCCCATTCGTAGAATGTGTGCCACTCAGTCAGTACAGGCTAGGCGGGGCGGTGAGGGAAGAAGCTGTGCTCCACCGCAGGGTCAGGGACCCCAGGCCTGAGCTCCCTTCCATGGCTGAGCGTGATTGAAATGTGTCAGACAAAGAGGGAAGGGGCTGGGACAGTGGCAAATGTGAGCTTGGGCACAGGCTCACCACCTCAGGGCCTCTCTGCCTCTGTCCGTAGGTGGGGGGCAGGGGGTGTTAAAAGGAAGGGGGGTATAATAGCAAGGGAGTCAAGAGAGGCGGCTTTTATAAGAAAGGAGGACCAAGGAGGAACTGGTGAGCAAGGAGGGAAGGGGCAGGGAGAGGGAGGAGATGAGCTGTGAATGCAGGAGAGAGCGGAAGGAGGCAAGAGCAGGAGAGCAGAACCCAGAGGAGGCGGACCACTGGAATCTATTGCCACAGCCCTGAGGCCCGAAGAAGTCTAAGAAGTCGGTGGTGCCCAGCTGCCACCCCCAGCATGTCTGAAAGGAGTCGCCACAGAGGGTCCTGGTCCATGCAGTGGGGGCCAGCTATGGAACATCGTGACAAAGAGCCGGTTCGCTGTCGGATGGACTGATGGAACTCCTGACACTACGACCCTTGGCCACTTTTCAAGCCGGAACCGAAGTCACCCCTTGAGGCTTAATTTTGTGCCAAACACAGCCAGGTCTACAAGGGGAACAAAGGAGCTGGGGTGGGGGGG